CCCCCATCAATGGAATTGTTATAACTACATTTTAATGTCTTCTTTTTAAGAACTCCTTTCCTCATTAGCTCCGCATTTCTTTTCTTTTTGCAAGATTAAATGTCTAGAAAAAATGTATCAAAACAGACAGGCAAAAAGAAAACATGTTAACTTCTGCTTCTATCTAATCCTACTTACCATTGCTTATTAAAATCCATTTTTAAAGTTTATTATATGTGTTTGACTATACATGACTTTCCTTTCCTTTAAAATCAAGAACTCCAGTATTACATGATCACTTTTCCATAATGTTCCTGTTACTTTCACTTCATTGACTAAGACTTTCCTATAGGTTTGTATCCCAGAGAGCTCATTTTCTCATTTATTCTTCCATTCTTTGTAGAATAAATTGTCAGTAAGACAACTCAGGAATTGAAAGGACCATACTTGGGAGCTTGTCTTCCAATACATTTTAAGATCCTAAAGTTCCCCTCACTACTATTTCATGTATTTTTGAAACATCTGCCATTTGCTTTTAAAAAACATAATCTGCATCTTCCTTGGTTAGTAGATGATAAAAGATACCATAAATAGTCTTGCTTTTGTTTGTTTATTCACTTATTTTATGACCTGCTTGCATTATTAGGTTTTAGTCATTAGAAGGTATACTTCAGGACCAGAAAGTTCTTCCTCAAATTCTAGAACTGTTAGGAGTGTTTCCTGTTCACCTTTGTATCACTTTCAGTTCTTCTCCATTGCCCCTTACATTTATATCCAAACTCCTCCTCTTTACCAAGCTCTCATCGGTCATCCCAAATTCTCTATTAATCTTCTTTGTCTTTACAAATTTAGCAAAAAGCTGGTTATAATATCTTTTAAATAACTTCCATTTTCATATAAAGCAGAATAGAATTCTGTAAAATTAAATGTGTTATTCATATTTATATTTTTGAGCTGCATTTATAATATCTTTGATTTTGTAAGACATTTTAAGAAACTTTTAAGAAAAGTTTTAACAATCAAAATATTCAAAAGTCTAGTTTAAGATTAATATCTGTTTTTATATTGATGTTTTAAAAACATTTATTTTACCTACTTTGCAGTTTGTTTGCCTTCGAGTTACTGATGACTCCTGGTAACTGCCTGTACAAGTCCCTGCAGTTTTGGCAAGGTTGTTCAGAAGTGTTTTGCCATTGCCTTCTTCCTAGGACTGAGAGAGAGTGACTGGCCCAAGGTCATCCAGCTGGCTTCGTGCCTAAGGCAGGACTAGAACTCACAGTCTCCTGGTTTCTAGTCTGATGCCTTAATCATTACACCAAACTGGCTCTCACAGTTTATTTATTTTACCTATTTATTATTTCAATTTATATGGCCACCCATCTCAAATTTATGACTCTGGGCAGCTTACAACAGTTAAAAGCGCCATAAAACATAATAAAAAGAACACAAACATAATCAGCAGCCAAGGTAAAAACAGAACAACCAACAGCAGATGAACGTAACCATACCCTGACTCTGCCACCCATCCAGATCCCCAAGCCAGAAGGGTTGGGGTTGATCTAATGTCTGGGGAGATGATGTTCCAAAGGGCAGGGGCCACAACAGAAGTTTTACTGAAGTTTACATCAGAATTGTTGAGGTGTAATAATTTTTACGTTTTACATAAGGCATTTTTATTTTCATACTGCCCTGCACAGTTTACTTCTGTTTGTGGTTAATTCAGTTATTCTTCACATTGCTGCACTAACTTCCACGGCTATCAGCTTTTGATGTAGCCCTATGAATGAGGCATAACAAATAACAAGCAGTGAGCAAGGTATTATAGATGAAGAGTGTTGTCTGCTGGCTTATATTTCTATTTGCTTTAAGTGTAAAGATTCAGTATAGGTTTCAGTATTCTTCAGTGGGATTTTTTTTACCTGAAAACTGGGTTATGAAAGAAAGAATATCTGACTTCCCTTCTGCTTGGAGTTGTATATTCTCAGTGGTTCAACTTTTTATTGGAAACTGAGCTTTATCTCTTACTCATAGCAGGTCTGATAGATTATTTTTAAAGAGTGATTTCAATCATATGCCTCTTAGTTCACACTACTGGCATTGCTAGCATTTCACTATGGGTTTGTTGCTTCATGTTTTAACTATTATTTGTTTTGGAAATTTATGAGTTCAGTTTTGTTTTTATTACAAATCTGTGACTTTATACTTAAAAGTGTGGAGTTCCAGTAATAGCTAAACTAATTTAATGATATATCTGACATCAGTCTGAGTAATAAGGCAATGGCATTTAATAATACAATAAAAATATTTGCCTGCAGGTGACTTATAAAGTGTAAGTAACAGACAGCTATTAAAAAAAGATAATAGAATAGGAAAGACTTGATATCTTGCCCTGTTGTCATAGACAATGCACTTTTAGATGGAAAACTGATCTGGCTTAGATTAAACCAGTTTCATATTGCCTGGAGGCAAGAATAGCTATCTTTTCTAGATTGACCTGTCATTTTTTGAGAATATAAAGCAGATATCTACTAATATGTTGGTATGTTTATGAAATTTATAAACCACTTCAATCTGAGCTAGTTTCTCCAGATGAATCAAGATATATACCATCAGGATAGTATGATCCCCAAATTGGCAACAAGCTAAACCCCATTATAAGACAAACATGTGACTACTGATAACACTGTCATGTAGCAGTGTTCTGTAAATTAAATTACATTGCTTCTAAAGCTATGGGTTCCCATCTGAAAGTTGGAACTAATTTTAACTGTATTTGTAACTTTCTGTTACTGTTATTGGTTGAGTATTAGTAACTCTCTGCATGTCTGAATTGGTATGTATTCAAGGGATTTTAGTTGTGATGACAAGTTTTTAAATAAATTATGTTTGTAGGCCTTGTTCATCACCTAGATATTAAAAAATGATTTTTTTGATTTTTTAAAAAATGATTTACCTGATTAAAAGTTAGTTCTTAGATTTTTGGAATGGAAGGAATGCTAGTATTGCTGAACAAAACTGGGATAGTTCAGCTATAACCAAAAAGACAATTTCTGTTTTCTATTGCTCATAGAATGTTTACAAGCTGGCATCTATTGCTCATATAATATTTACAAGCTGGTATCTAACCAAATGAAAAAATAATGTAAGAGTTAAGAGAAAGTGTTTTTCAGTATGATGCTGAGGCTAAGTTTAAAATGCATATTATGTTATTGCTTTCAAAACTTCTTTTAAGTATAAACTTTATGTATTGGAGAATGTTTTATTTATTTGAAAACAGCTTGCTTTCAAATAATGGTGCAGCCTTAGATTGTATTTCAGTGCATCCTTGAAAATAAGTTTAATTGAATTCATTGAGAATGACATCAGCAAATTCAGAGGGTTAGGTGGTTTGCCTGCAGTCCCGCCATACTTATTCATGATTCATTGATCTTAATGGCTCACATTGTGTTCAGTGCATTGATCAGAAGTATGTATTTTTTTTACAGTGCTGTCTACTGCTTTTTGCTTATTCAACTTGTTTAATAATGTCTTCACAATTGGGTTTATATATGATTTTTTTCAACTCTCATATTGTTCGTAGTGCACCAAAAACCAAACAAGGAGGACAAATATTTAAGACTATGTTTGTATAGCCACTATGCCCAAGTCCTGTAGCAGCATAAAGAGAAATATATTTTCAATTACCTAATGAAAACACTGCTGAACTTGTATGGTTCCCATTGTTGTGTGTTCTTCAGTCTCCGCAGATATTTCCTCCTCTCCTCTCAAATTGCTCTTCATCCTGAATACCGTTCAGAACTGGAGACTCTTCAAGCAGAGAATACAGAATCTGTGCTAATCTTGGACAAGTGTACCAACCTTTCAGAGGGAATTCCATTTATTCGTAAACGTTGCCATAAGAATCTGATCTTTGATTACCCTCAGGTCCTTCAGGTAATGCTGCATTTTGCTCCTATCATTTCTTGTTGGTTACAAGAGAGTATGATTTATTTTAAAAATATGGTGGGTTATGCAGATAAATATCTGAAGCATAAGATTTATACAGCCTTTCATTTATTATATACGATGAGTTTGGTGCACTGTTACCCTTCTAGGAATGGAAAAGTTTATTGGTGAGCAGAAGTTACTGAGCTCTAGTAAAGGATTCTGGCAAAAAATGGAATTGGCAGGATCCTTCCAACCTATACTTTGCACCACTTCTGATATTCTTCTGAGGGATTCCAGCAATCTTCCAAAGCAAAATTTTGAGAGAAAAGGAAAGATTACTGGAATCTCACCTTCTCCCAGCTTTCCCATTGTGAATGAGTCAGGAGCAGAGGGTTTTTTCCCCCCATGGCAGTTCTGGATATGACTTAAAGTAATTGGATGTTGGTGGTGTTTGTTTTGTTTTGCTTTTTGTTTTTGTGCCTTCAAGTTAGTTTTTGACCCCTGGTGACTCCTTGGGCAAGTCCCTGCAGTTTTCTTGGCAAGGTTTTTTGGAAGTGGTTTGTCATTGCCTTCTTCCTAGGGCTGAGAGAGAGTGAGTGGCCCAAGGTCACTCAGCTGGCTTTGTGCCTAAGGCAGGACTAGAACTCAGAGTCTCACGGTTTCTAGCCTGATGCCTTAACCACTACACCAAACTGGCTTAATTGATGTTTGCTATTTTCAGGCCAGGATCAATGAGAGAGGAATAATAATTTCTTACAGCACCTGGTTTCATCTCCTCCACATAGTTAAACTCTGGCCAACCAGAAGAGTCCGTAAAAGGAATTTATGAAAGTAAAGCATAACCACCAGGAATGTATCTTAATACAAGCTGCATGTAATCTGCCTACATTCAGTAATAAACATTGGGATTGACGTTCACACTGTCTTCAGAAGTCTTTCAAGCAATAAGGCGGACTTTACAGCCTGATGCTGCTTTTATCACTCTAACAAAAGCAAGAAGTTCCTGTGGATGCTGCTATCCACATCCTTAACTATAGCAGTGAGTTAGATTCTGAATTTCTACAAAGGAGAGTAAAGCTGAATATTTAAAGAGAAGTGTAAAATCAGGTTTCCTTAACATTCTGTACTAACACTTGGAATGCAGACCCTTTTTTGAATTTAAATGTTCTTTCATTTGGTCAGTTTTTTTCCCCCCATTTCTTTTATATAATTAATTTGTTTATAATTAATAGGTATAACACTTCTCTTTACAGAAGCCCATGTCTCTTTTTGGAATAATGATATAGCATGTACTTGAAGTACCTTTTGTCCATATTGAAAAATTGGCTTGTTGGTAGATAAGCATATAAATCTACATGCCACAGAACTCATTTTTTGTAGGTGAAGAATGGTATGGAAAATCATTTGAAGCATGTAAGTAGGGAAAAACGTGGGTCACTTTTAGTAGTGAACTTCAATATGTCAGACAGAAGGAATTCATTTCCTATCTCATTGGTGTCTCACTAACATCCTAATGTCTGGCTCCCATTCATTCCTGTAGGAGAAAATAAAGTTATACCATGTATAACTTGTACCATGCTGGAAACCAGTTGTGATCAAACTGCAGAAAACAAATCACTCCACTGTGTAATTTATATTTGCTTTGGAGTTTTCTTATGCATTCTTCTTGAGTTAAGCTTTTAAATGAACAGACTATTTAAACCAAACTGAAAGCTTAAAATGGAAGTTTATTTGCTGGAAAAGGTTCAATTTTGATTGGCTAATGTAATTCAGGAAAAAAACTGAAATGGGGGTGGAAAACTATGCCCCCCCCCCCCCGAAAAACATAGATGAACAATGGAGGAAATATATTCTTAAGTTAATGTTAAATTCTTGGAGGAAATATATAAGATATATATGTTACTCAATGATAAAAATATAAACATCTGTATATGCTTGTTTGCAAAACCTAACTGGTTGTGGTTATTAAATTTTGGGTGAAAAAATGTAATTGATTAGTCAGTTAATAGGTTACTCATGTAAACTTTTTGTGATCTAATAAATCTGCATGTATCTGCATAGAGATGGAAACTTTTCCTGAAAAAAATGCTTCCTTTTTAGGTGTGGCATGCCTATGTCACATCAAGCATTATCTTAGAAGAGAGCACTATATGCAATGAAATGTGGGATATACATTTAATGAGTAAAAAATATGATAGTGATTCTGCCAGCCATAGGAGTTGCATTATTTTTTCTTAAGAAGTTTTAAAAGTGGGTTTCAGGTAAAGCAATGTTGCAGCCCTGACTCAGAAATTAGTATTTAGGTGTTTAAAAATACACATTTATAGATATGATATGAACCTTTTTAAATACAATATCTTTCATGCAGGAAACTCAGGTGTACATGTTTGCCACAAAGGTATGGGGCTTCCTTTTATTTCATGATTAGATGGGAGCATCTGAGAGCCAAATAGTGCCACTTGAAGAGACTGAAATAATTGCTTGAAAAGGATGGTTGGGATATTAGTTTAGAATTTTAAAGTTGTAATTAACATTTATCGTAATGTAATATGAAGAAAGAAAACCTTGTTTGTATTTGATGTTTGTAATCATGAAATCCAGTTTCCAAAATATAACTTTCTACAATGCAGTGAATAAGCCATGCATTAATTTTAATTTAATAAAATAATAGAAAAACAGATATGACTGTTTTGTGGCTATTTGCCCACAGGAAGCCACATTCTGTGTTGTTCTGCGGGGAGCACGTTTAGGACAAGCTGTATTGAGTGATGTTCTTCAGGCTGGTTGCATCCCTGTTGTCATAGCTGATTCTTATGTTCTTCCTTTATCTGAAGTTCTGGACTGGAAGAGGTACATTCTGTTAACATCTCTTTGTTGCTTGTTTGGGGACTGCATGACCCTGAGAAAAACATTGAAAAAAGATATTATATAGATTGAATCCATTTGTCATTCTTTTAAGATGTACAAGAATAGCCAGCTGTTCATGGATAAGAGAATGAAAAGTGGTCCAAGCATTTATCTCAGAAGAATTTCAATATATTCTTTCTTTTCCTTGGTCTGTCTTAGAGATGAAAAAATTCCCAGAAATTTTGAAATAATGGGGGGGAAAGTTGGGGGAAGTCGAAAATGAGCACCTGTCTGTCTGACATAGTGGTTGTTACAGTCCTTACACTGTATGTTGTAGATGACTCCTGTTTTTTCTTCTTGGGCTACTGTAACAACCACTGTGTAGGACAGACAGGCAGAAGGCTAGCAGAGTGCACCCATGAACACCAACTCGCAGTCAGAAGACATGATGAAAACT